AGGAATATTTTGCCCTGGGGTCAAGAACTGCAGTAAGAGACCCAAACCCAGCCACCACCGCTAGTTCCAGCAGGGGTTTAGACGAACAGAGCCAGCATCATCGTGCCCTGACAACACAAAACCTTACAGAAGAGTTCAAGGTCTGGGAGACGCACTTGTCTAGAAGTCACCAGCACGTCAATACCAAAAGGAGGCAGCCCGTGCTCGGAAAAGCAGCCGTGGAAGGCAGCTGTGCTGCTGCTGGACGTTTCCCCGGGGCAGCAGGGATGCACCACGTACACCACGCTTTGTACAGGCCAGAACCGAAATCCAGTCAGCCAGGTGAAGCCTACACTCCTCTGGCAGCGACTTCAACAACAACTAAAGACTCGACTCAGTTTTGACTAATTATTTATGACTATAGAAAGCGCATCAACTGGGACATCTCCTGAACCAAGTCTCTCTTACCTAAGCTTTTTTTTTTTTTTTAATAATTTAGAAAGCAGAAGTGAGAGAGGCTTTTGACATCTTATTCTGCGAAACCACACCTTCAAGTGTCCAAAACACCTCTGCTCTTGCTATTTGCATTCAGCTTTAGAGATCCGCACAGCACCGTAAGACCAGGGGAGGCATCTGTCACCCAGGCTGCACATCGCACTAGAGGTAGCCAGAGCACCCGGGTTCCTACAGAAGCCAGGTTGTTTCAGTAACACCGCACACACAAACAGAACCTAATATTCGATTAGAAACCAGACACAAACGAAACAAAAAGAGCCATCAGGGCCACATACTGGAATAAACACTCCCCGGACTCCCTGCGCATGGGAGCCCTCGCCCCGTGGGACCAGCATGCAGCCAGGTGAGATCCAGCTCCGTGCTTTCTGAGAAGAAATAAATCCTTCCCAGCAGCAGCAGTGGCATTGGCAGAGGGGTGCGTGAAGCCAGACGCACGGGGACAGCGCTGCAGCGAGAACCCAGCCTCTCCAGCAGCAGAGGAGGCTTGCAGGAGGCACAGCCAGCCAAACAGGATCGATTTCCCCACCAGGAAGATGCCAACTGCCCAAGGAAATTTACGTTCCCTGCTTGAACTACTGCAGTGCCTCTTTTATCGCAGGGATCTACCATTAGCAGCAGTTACCTGTACCACAAACCAACAGAGCGCAGTAGGAGATGCCTTCAGAAACGTTTACAGGAACAGCAAGCATCATGTGGCGGGGGTTCCTTCACTTCTAGCCAAGGGAGAAAGGGCGCTAGAGCAGCCTGTCAATAAAGGAGAACCTCAGTAACCCCTACACAGGGACACAAACACTTTGTAACGGGAGAACTTTCCCACAGCTGCAACAGAAGTTGCAAGTTTATTATGGATTAATTCCAGGCTTAAGGAGATGACTCCGCTAGCCTGCAGTATTTTAAACATCTTGCGCGTGTTGCATGTGGTGTGGTTCTGGTAAATCACCCCCCAGCGGCCCTACATGCATGCCCTACTCATTTCATGCACCCCCCACTCATCTCATGCAGCCAGTCCCTGGAAGCAGCCACCTCCAGCGATGAAGGACTTGGCTCCTGATTTCCCTGGGTCTCATTTCCCCGCTTCCATTACAAGAGCATCACGCTCCCAGAGTGAAACGGGACAACACCAGCACCTGTGTGACAACGACAAGCAACACCGAGCGAGTTCCTCCCTCCAAGCTCTGAACACCCCGCAGCCTGAAGCCGCCAGGGTTTTGGGGAAAAACAGCCTGCGAACATACAACCCAAGCCCGCGCGTTGCATAACACAGATATATGCACAAGAGCAGCACGAGCGTACTTAAGTCCAAGAACTCTCAGCTTTCAAGTGCTCAGCTCTGCAAACCAAACGGCTCCGACATACTTTGTGGGTAGCAATTAAAAAAAATCAACAACTGGCAAAGCGAAAGCAAAGTAATATGGTCCCAAACTTCGCTAAAAATGCACTGCTCCAGCACGAGAGGCGTGCCAGGAGCAAGCCCACCTGCTCCAGTACCGCAGCAGAGTCCCCGCAGGACGGGCAGCGCTCAGGGGGCTGCTCTGTGGCTGCACGCCCCCTCCCCAGCAGGCAGATTTTGGGTCCCAGTCCCCATCCAGCTCCGCACAAGGCTGTCCCAGGACCCCTGCAACTCCCAAAGGCCAGGGAAGTGCTAAAGACAAGTTGAAGCTGATAAAGGAGAGAAAATTTTAAAAGTCCCTGGTTTCAATTTGAATGGCTCTGACCCAACATTAACACCACGTTCAGAAAGGAGCACGCCATCAGCTGCCAGCAGTCACTGCATTGTCACTTCTGGAGCACCAACAATAGCCCCAATAACGGCCGCTGCCATTTGTTTCCCTCCAGCACAAAACCTGGCAGTAGCTGCTGCCAGCTCGGAGGAAAGTTTCAGCCACGCTTAACTGAGATTAAGGTGGCAGTTACAACAACTTCGGCATATGCACAGCCCACTTTACACCTGAATGCTACCTGGGTGCCCCGTCCCCTGCCTGCTGCCACCCCAGAGCAACCAGAGGCCAGGGCTATTAACAGCCCGCTGCAAAACAATACCTGCCTGCCACCCCGCCTGCCCGGAGGCGCTGCCTGAATGCTGGCCTTTGCATCCCACTAAAAGCCGAGCCAACTGCTGGCCCTTCTGCTGGAAGCACCCTTGACATTTTGGAAATGAGCCTTTTCAAAGCTCCTAACGATCCGGCCAAACCCGAAAGCTTGCAAGGGTCTGATGGGCAGCTGAATGTCAGCGCTCAGAGGGCTGAGATGCAGGCAGGCTTTCCTCCTGGCAAAACAGGGAGCGAGGAAGCAGTGGGCACACACTCAGAGCCCTTAGCTTGGCAAATAAAAGCTCAAAGTCCTGCTGTAAAGTGCAGGAGACCCATGTCGGGCTGGGTAAATGGGATTATCTGAAAGAGTAGCCCTGCTATGACAAGTCACCCTAAAAATAGCAGTGCAGAGCTCCTGTTTTTTTATTTTGTTGTTAGGTTTGTTTGGTTTTGTTTGTGTTTTTTTTTTTTTTCCCAAGTTTTAGCAGGCTCTCAAAGACAGCTGACTCGAGCTACCCGAATACAAATGAGACGGGAATTAAATGCCTACATGAATGGGGTTCCTAGGGCAAGCCTGGTTATTCCAAGCTGCCATGTCATGTTCAACAATTACACGATTTAACCATCTCATTGGCAACCTGGCACAGACAAAAATCTCTAGCGCTTCCCATCCCATGAACAGCAGAGCTAAAATGGGTGAGCGCTGGCACAACTTGCACGGCCTTATCAACAGAAGAATGCAAGGCTCAAGGAGAGAAGGATCCCAAGCTGTCTCCAATACGCTTTGCTTTTTTATGCCTTTTTTTTTTTCTCCTGAATGCAGCTGTGTTTTAAAGTCAGCAGAACAATTCAGCGAGGTTAATGTCATACTATGGCAGACAGGATGGCAGCTTCCCTGAAAAGTCAACCCTTCATTGCGTATTCAAATAACAGGCTCAATCACTAAAAGTGTTCTCGCTGCACAAAGCTGCAGCTCTGCGGTGCACGTAGTAAAAGCCACTGATAGTATAAGCAAGTGTTGTGAAAGTACCTCTGCGAGCTTCTGTTTACAACGTGAGACCCTCCCACAACCGCATCACTGAGCACATGGCTGCTGAGATCCCTGCTTTACTCTTAAAAACAAGGCTCCGTTTACTTACAGACCTCCCGCTGACAGCAGCCTCTCACCCCACAGCACCGGTGGTGGGGTCTCCACAAGGAGACGATTCTCCCGAAGAAACACGCAAAAGGATCCATGAGCCAGAGCTGAGCCTGGCAGTACCTTAAACAAACTCAGCTGCTTTCAGCACCAGGCTGCAATCAGCCCTTCTATGGGCACTCAGTGACAAGTGGTCCCGCATCTCTCACAGCAGAAACACACAGGTTCCCAAATGAACACAAGTGAAAGCAAGCGGATTTTTTTTTTCCCCAAAAATGCTGCATGCACCAGTAGCATCTGCCTGGCATCAGCGGCTATACTGCAATGAGAAAGAGCGGAACAGTTTCAGAGGTCAGCGTTGTCACGAGAGTTGATTTCCAAATCTCAGCATCAAATAGTGCTTTAAACCCAGAGTACGGACACTTAAGTTTAGAAAAACATTTTTAAAATATTCAAGATCTCTACGAACTTAAATATATCTAGAGGGTATGTACGTATAAATGCTGAACCTCAACTTGATGAACCCCAACTCAGCGATGAAACCAGTCAAAAGTTGCGCTTGCATTCAAAAATGAGCTGTACACACATCATGTGCCTCTAACCACCATCAGCACTCTAAGGCCTGGACCAGCTTTGCTCATTAAGCACATCTGAAAACCAGCTAATGGAATTTGTGAGCGCAGGGCGAAATTAGAAAGAACCAAAAAAAAAAAAAAAAAAGCCTGCCTGAATAACGGGCAAGGCCTCCCAGGCGAGGCCATGCCACAGCCCCTCCCTAGCAATCGGGAAAGTCTGCAGCTTGGGCAACTTGCGCTAACCCAAACAAAGAGCGCAGGCTGATAGAGCTGGAAAAAAATAAAAAAAGAGATGCTAAGAGAGGAGAAAGGTCTCCTCTCCTTGACATCATTATGCGCACCAGGAAACAAGCTGGTAACGGGGACGAAAAAAAAAACACACAGAGAAAACCTCTGGCACAACTTTGCGAGCATCCTGCTCCCGCCAAGCACCGATGTCAACGACGGGGAAAAAACACCGGGAGGTGTCCTGGGGGGCAGCCCCGGAGCCCCGCGGTGAAGGTGAGGCCGTGACACGGGGCACGGCCCGGGCCCGGCGGCCGCGCTGGTGTCAAAACTGTCCCCGCGGCAAGATGGCTGCCAGCGGCCGCCCGAAGATGTCAGCTGCCAGCAGCGGGCCCGCGCCGGCCCCCGCAAAATGGAGCCCCGGCTTCCCCCCCTCGCCGCCTGCCTCCCTCTCTCCCTTCCCTCCTCGTTTTGCTTTTGCTGCTGCTGCTTCTTCTTTTTCCTCTCCTCCCGCTCCCCCCCTCTCCCGGTGCTTACGAGCTGCAGGGCCGCCGTGGCGGAAGGCTCGGGTTTGTCCCCCCCGCCGTCCAGCAGCGGCAGCTCGGCTCGCTGCAGGCGGGGCGGCGGCTCCGGGCTGCCGGGGCCCCGCTGCGGCCCCGCACGGCTCTGCTCCGCCGCGGCCCGCTCCCGGGCACCACCGGCGGCCTCCTCGTCTTCGTCCTCCTCCTCCTCTTCGTCGTCGTCGTCCTCCTCCTCGTCCTCCTCCTCCGGCGTCTCGGCGCCTTCTTCCCCCTCCTCCTCCTCCTCCTCTTCCTCCTCGTCCTCCTCCTCCTCGTCCTCCCCGTCCGGGAGGAGCAACGGGAAGGCCGGGGGGGCCCCGTCTGCAGCCGGGCCGGGGCCGTCGGCGCCTCCCGGCGGGTCCCCGGGGCCGCGGGGGGGCGGCGAGCCGGGGTCGGGCAGGGCCTCAGCGCCGTCGGCGGCGCCGCCGAGGTACTCGGCGTTGATCATGGAGGCCAGGTCCTGCAGCCGGCGCAGCGGGATGTAGCAGGACGACGGGTCCTGGCCGTACACGGGCTTGGCGGCCGCCAGCTGCATGGCGGGCGGCTCGGGGCCGCGGGCCTCGCCGAACGGGCCGCCCTTGGGCTCGGCGGCCGCCAGCGAGGTGCCGAAGGGGACGAGGCAGCTGCGGCGGCTCACTTCGCAGGCCTGCTCCATGCCGGGCGGCGGGCATCCACCTGCGGGCACAGCACAATGGGGTCAGCCCCGGCCGCCGACACAAAATGGCAGCCGCGCCCGGGGCCCGCTCGGCTCGGCTGGGCTCGGCGGGCGGGCAGGCAGGCGGCCGCCCGGCCTCCGCCGCGCTAGGCCCGGGCTCGAGGCCCGCCGCCCGGCTCGGCTTGGCCCGGCCCGGCTTGGCCCGGCTCGGCGAGGCTCGGCTCAGCTCGGCTCGGCTCTGCTCAGCCCTTCTCGCTCCGCCGGGCAGCGCTCACCTGCGGCCGCCGCGGCCGGCTCGCCGCCTGCCCCCGCTGCGGGCCGATCGGGAGGAGACGCGCCGACCCGGCCCGGCCAGGCCCCGCCAGCGCCGCTCCGCCGCCTCCCTCCTCCTCCTCCTCCTCCTCCTCCTCCTCCACCTCCCTCCCCCGCATGCGCGCTCCCGACGCCGCCGCCATCCCGCCGGCGCGCGCCCCACGCGCGCGCCCGCTCCGGGGGGGGGGTCGGTGGCGGCCAATCAGCGCGCGCCCGCGCCCCCCCCTTCCCCCGTGTCCCCCCCCCCTCCCCATCCCGGACCCCCCCCCCTCCCATCTGCCCCCCCCCCCCCCCCGGGTCCGGGGCTATGGGGGGGGGAGGAGGGGAGGGGGCGCTCAGTGCTGCCCCCCCCCGGCCCGCCCGGTGCCAGCGGCCGCCCGCCCGGCCCCGCTCCCACCTGCGGCCCGGCACGGCCCGGCCCGGCCCCGCGCACATGGCGGCCCCCGGCCGGCCCCGCGCCCTCGCCTCCATCTTAGGTGGCGGCGGGCACCGGGCGGCCCCGAGCCGAGCCGAGCCGGGCCGGGCCGGGCCGGGCTGCGGTTGTATGGCCCGGCCCCGTGCGCTGCGGTCGTGCCTCACCTGCGGGCCTCGCTGCCCCCGGTTCCCCCCCCCCCTCATACACCCGCACCCACCCCCGGTCCACCCCGGTCCTGCGGGGAGCAGCGGCGGCGGAGCGGGCGCCAACAAAATGGAGGCGGCCGGGCCCTGCGGCCCCGACCCCGGCAGCCCAACCCTCCGCGGGGCGGCCGCACCAACACCGGGCCGGGGGCCGCGGGGCTCCGCCGCCGCCTTCCCCCCGCTATTGTCCGCCTCGCCCCGCTCCCCCCCCGCCCGCTGCCTCCCCCCCCCCCAGCCCCCCACCCCTCCACTTCCCGGTTCCACCGGGCTCGTACCGGGGCCTCGCCCCGCCGGGAGGCCGCGGCCTTAGCGGGTCCCCGGCCGGCTCCGCGATGCCGGGCGGGCAGCGCCGCTCCCTCGCTCCCCGCCGCCCTCCGAGCGCCGCCACCGAGCGCCCCCCCCCCCCCTCTCCGGTTCCCCGTGCATCCACCACCACCCCCCCGGGGCGGGCAGCGGCGGCGGCTCCGTCGCTACCTCCTGCTGCCGGGGCCGGGGTCTCCGCCACCGCGAGCGGCGAGGAGCGGGGCCGGGCGCCGAGCAACGCCACGCCGCCGCCGCACCGGCAACGGGGGGGTGCGAGGGGGGGGGGAGAGAGCGGCGGCCCGGCGGGGGGCAGCGCCGGGATGGGGCTGGGTTCCCCGGGCAGCGCCGGGGGGCAGGGCCCGGCTGCCACCCCCCCGGGGTGCCCGGAGGGAGGTTGGGGGCTGCGGGGGGGGGTGCGGTGCCCTCCCGGCCGGCCCGGGGTTGGCTTTCGGGGGTTCGTTCCCCGAGGGGGGCACCGGGGATACCGGCAGCCTGCGGGCGCTATCGGTGCCCGGTGCGGCCAATAATGCAAATAGTGCCCCGGTGCAAATAACGCCCTGCGTGGAGCGCCCTGTCATGAATAAACCACAGCAAATGGCTCCTGACCCACAGCGCGGGCACGGCACGGCCTCGCACCCGGCCTCACGCCCCGCCACCTCCCTGCCCGCGCTCGCTGCTGGCCCTCGGGCACACAGTTCGCCCCGCAGCGCCCACGTCCCAGTGGGCACCGTCCCGCTGCAGCCACCCCGTCAACATCAGGGCCACGCCGAGGTCCCCATCCCGGTGTCCCCACTTCGGCGTGACACCACGCTGGGGCTTGCTGCCGCACACCCACGGAGGGTGGAGTGACTTGGCAGGAAGCGCCAAGGCCGGAGGCTCGGCTTGTGGTTGTTTGTACCGCCAACCGTGGGGCTTGGCCGGCCTCGGTGCCGCTGTGGGAGCCGTGCCCGCGCCGTGCCCGGTGGTGCCATGCAGACACCCAGTCCGTGCCGGCGGGGAGCGATCCCGTGCCACCCAGCTCCCTCGGGGCGGCCCAGCCCGCGGCAGCCGCACCCTCGGCACGCGGGGCCCAGGCACCGACTTTCCCTCCTTCCTGCTCAGACCTGTCACGTGCGTTTCCGTCCCGAAATGAAGCAGGAGGTTTTATTTAGAACCCCCCCACACACACCCCCCCGGGGCGGGCAGGGCACGGTGCAGGATGAGAGTACCCGCAGCCACGCAGCCTGCCCTAGCACCGGGGCGCCTGCCGCGGTGTGGGGACGAGGTCGAGGGGTGTCCCCACAAAATGGGGGCTGCGTGCAGGCCCCTGGCTGTCACCGTCTCCTCTCGTGCTGGTTATAGCACTGGTTGGCCGGGGAGATTTGGGGCCGCAGGCTGGGCACCTCACAGTGCCCCCCACATGCTGGGGGCTGAGCTCACAACCACGCAGCGCGGCCACCACCTCACCCCATGGGACGCTGCCGGGCAGGGGCTGAAACCCCCAGGCAGCAGCACCCCGATGGCTGGGGGCACATCTCTAGCCCCCTACCCACGATCCCAGCACCCAATCCATCCCCACAGCCATGACGGGGAGCAGGACCGGGGCCACCACGGCTCGATCCCGCTCCCGCCGTGCCGCCGCCCCCGCAGCACGGCCCCCTCCCGGCTCCTCTCTTCCGGCCGTGGGGCTGCCAAACGGCACCGGGGCCACGGCGCTGCCGCCCGGATGCGTGCTGCAGGGGCTGCGACCCCGCGGGGCTTTGTCTGTGGGAGCACGGTGAGGCCTCCCCGGTATGGCCTCCGTGGTACGGCCTCCACGGTGGGGCCTCCCCGGTGGCCGGCTTCACCCGCTTGGCTCCCCGCACTGCCGCCAAGGCCAAGCGGCCATCGGGAGCAAGCGGCCGAGCCGTGGCCGATCCCAAGGGGATGCCTGGAGAGGCTCCTGCGGAGGACAGCGGGGTGGGATGGGGGCCGGGGGATGCATCATGGCCCCGGGGAGCAGCGCGGGGCCCAGCACAAAGGGCCGGGGCTGCGGGGTTGGCGCATGGCCGGCGAGCGCGGGCGAAAGGGTTAAGGCTTGCGGCGGGCAGGAGGAGGGCTGGCCCGGCCGGGGGAGGAAGGAAGCAGAGGAGGAGAGGAGAGGGGAGAGGAGAGCGGGGAGCATCCTGCCCGGAGGCCCCTTTCCCCCCCGTGGGGTGGGGAAGAAGCTCGGGAAACCGCCGGGGATGGGAGCGGGGCGGCGGGCTGGGCTCAGCTCCGGTTGGGAGAGCCGCACGCATCTGCTGCTCGCCGGGTGCTGTGCCCCAAAAACCTGCCTGCAGCCCCAAAACCTTGCCTGGGGCGACCCCAGGATATTTGGGGGGGGGGCAAGACCCCCAGAGCCAGGTGCTGGGGACAGGGACCCATGGAGAGGGCAAGGCGGGGTGGCACAGGATGGTTCCCCCCCAAAATGGGTTAAGGCATGGCAGTGGGGGCTCCAGCTCCATGCCCCCATGAATTGGGGAGGGGGTACAGCCCATGGGGGGGGTACAGCCCATGGGACTTCCACCCCCCAAAGCCTTCAGGTGCTGCCACCGCTGTTGGAGCCCGGTGCGGGTGGGAAACCACGTCCCGAGCCCCCCGCCCGTCCTCCCACCGGGTTCGTCCCGGCCCCAGGAGCCGAGGGGGGGTGCGGGCAGATTGGGGGGGGGGCTCTCAGCGCCGCCCGCCCGGTGCGGAGCTGCCGCGGCCGGCCAGGAGATGGGGCTCGCAGCCCGGCTTCCCCGCACCGCCACCGCCACCGGACCGGCACCGGCAACGGGACGGGGGGCACGGGTGGGGGGCGTGGGGGAGATGGGGGGGGGCGCGGTGCTCGCGTGGGCGTGGGGAGGAGAGAGAGGGGGCTCGGGGAGAGCCCGGGGTGGGGGCTCAAGGGGCTCAGGGTGTCCGGGGGGGGCAGCAGCCGCCTGTCCAGGGCTGTGTCCACGGGAAAACGCGGCCCCGAGTGGGTCCCCGTGGGTCCTTCCCCTGTCCCCGTGGGGCTCTGCCCTTCCCCTCCACTGCCCAGAGGGGGGGGGCAGGGGTATGGGAATGAAGGGGGCTCAACCCCAGCCCGGGGGCAGAGGCTATCTGCAGCCCACAAAAGCCAGATTCTCCCCCAAGATAAAATCCCAGAGCTTTTGTTTAGGGGAAAAAAAAAGACAAGGGCACCTCCCGGCCCTACAACAGCCGGTCGTTAAGGGAAGGCATCTCCAGTGAGGGGCTGGAATGAGGAATTGGGGCTCGCCCCCACATTGCCCCACGGACACCGGACTGGGGAGGGGGCCGAGAGGGACCCCAAGACCCCCGGGGACCCTCAGGAGGCGGCTGAGCCCTGGGCAGGCTCTGGCTGGGGGATGGCGTGTGGGAACGGTGCCTCAGGAAACCAGCGGGATTTACTGGGCTACACGCTAAATCCCCCTCACAAAAGGGGCCTGTTCGTGGGGACAGGATGCCGGTGGCTCAGCCACACTTGTTTGGCCAGCAGAGCCTGGCGGATTAAGGACAATTGGTTCAGCCCTGACAGAAAACACCAGGAATGTTAAACAATAAAACCGCCTCCAGTTGTTGCGGGGCTGCGGGATGCCCCGGGACGCCTCCGCTGCCCCGTGCCCCCCGCCACAGCCCCGTGCTCCTGCCCCAGCCCTGCTGCTGAGCCCGCTCTGCTCCACCAGCACCAGGACGTGGTGCTCGGGTGTCCGGGGACGGGGCAGCCCCAAGCAGAATGGACACACTGCTAGGACCCCAAAAGCATTGCTGGTGGCCCCAAAAGCAGTGCCGGGTGGCTGGTGGCCCCAAAAACATCACCAGGTGGCTGGTGGCACGAATGCACGGGCTGCAAGGATGCACACTCACCTCGTGTGCTCAGCAAGGGGGAAGGAAGCAAAACCCCATGGGGTTACAACCTCTGCTGTCCCCACCCCACCCCAAGCCCCGGGCACAGGGGGTGCGAGGTACCCCCGTGTGCCATTAGGGATCGATGAATCCCCCTCCCTGTCCCCCCCTTTGCAATCTCCATTTTCCAGGGAAGTGCCAAGGAAGCAAATCCCCTGCACAGCCCCGTCCCCAGGCACCCACGGGTCCGGGTTTACCCAGGGCTGGCTCCCCGGGGGCCAGGGGGTGGGGGGCAGGCAGCCCGGGCAGTTTGCCCTCCGGCGTGTGAATGCCCCATTCAGGGCTGTGCTAAATGCATTGGTTCTGGCACATTAGCAGACAGCTGGGATCCTTCGCCGGGGCAGGGAGGCAGCGGGGACGGGGCAGGTTTCACACCTGCTGGTGGTCTGCAGGCCCCGGGGGGCTCTGCCCAGGGGAGAGGGGGAGCAGAGCCCCTGGGCGAGGGGCTGGGAGAGCTGTGGGCAGGCTTCAGGGCCAGCACGGCTGGGGCTGCACGAGGAGGGGGCCTTGGGGCAGCCCTACAAGCAGGTATGGGGCAGGGCAGGCTCTGCCACACGGGAACGACGCCAGGAGCTTGCCAAAAGGTGGCCGCACCGCAGCGCAGCAGGGGCGAGATGAAGGGACCACTTTTCCTCTGGCTCCTGCCCCACGCGTCCCCACTGCTCCCCGAGAGCCACCTTGCAGGCTGGGGGGGGGCTGCTCCCCACCCCTGGAGCTGCCCCTGCAGCTGGGAGCTGGGGAAGGAAACCAGATCCCGGGGCTAACGGCCCTGCAAAGCCCAGCCCTTGGCGGAGCGGAGGAGACGAGGTGAAACCCTAGACCCAGGGAGCGGGCTGGCAGGAGGGGGCGAGACAGCTGCAGCCCCCGCTCCCTGCAGAGCCGAGCTGGGTGCCGGGGGGCAAAGCAGGCAGCAGAGAGCAGGGCCTGGGGCTGAAGCCCCCAAACCTCGCTCGCAGGGGCGCTGGGGTTAGGGGAAGGCAGCGCAGAGCCCGTAACTCACTTTTATCTGGTGTCCCTGGGGCTGGCCCAGGTGGGGAGGGGGGGGGTCCCCAGCGTGCCGGGCCGGGGGCTCTTTCCCAGCCTGGGAGCCGGCAGCAGTTGGTGGATCAGTTTCAGGGCGATGCTGGTAGCGGAGTTCACGGTGGCTTAGCGCAACAGTGGCTAATGGGGAACAGATGCAGCAGCGCTTTGTGCCGGAGCGGGGCTGGAGGCACAGGAGCGGGGATGCCGCTTCCTGCACCTGTGGCACTGCCCCCCGGGCAGCGCGCGTCCTCCCCCGGCCCTCCTCGCCCCTGGGAGCAGCCCAGAAACTGCAGCAGCAGCAGCAGGGTCTATTCCAAAAAAAAATAATTTATCAGGTCGATATTTCACGTACATAAATATTCATCTCTATGGCTATGTACAGAGGCAGGCAGCGGGGCTCCCGCCAGGAGACGCTTCCATCCAAACCCTGGACACAGCCCTGCGCCCCGGGGGCACCGTGGTGCAGTGCCCCCCCTGCCCCCCAACACCAGGCAGAGGCTCGCTCAGCCCTGCATTGCTGGGACCCGGCCAGGACTGGAGGCTTTGTGCAGAAATGGGGGGGGAAAGGAGCCCGTTCCCCGGGGAGGGGGGCACCCCCTGCGCTGCTGACGCTGGGTGCAGCAGGGAACAGCCCTGCTTGGATCCGCTCCACGGCATCGCCCTGCCCTGCCCTGCCCTTAAGTCCTCACGCTGGGGTAGGTGAAGAGGCAGGGGGCGAGCGGCAGCGGGTCGTGGGTGAAGACGGAGTCGTCCGAGGAGCAGGTGCTGGTGGTGTCCTCGCAGGAGGGCGAGTACTGCTCGAAGGGCATGGAGAGGTCCAGGTACTGCAGGGGAGACACTGTGCCGTCACCGCCCGCCCCGTCACCGCCACCACCGCCATCCAAAACCATCCTCATCGTCACCCACCTCCTCCGAGACGGCCGCCAGGATCTTGTCCAGCCCCTCCACCAGCTGCTTGAAGGTGGGGCGCTGCGAGGGCACGGCGTGCCAGCACTCCCGCATCAGCATGTACCTGGGGGCCGGGCGGCGTTAGGGGAGGGGGTACAGCTCGCCCTGCCCGCCCCCCCCTCCCCTGGCCCCTACTCACAGCTCGTGGGTGCAGTTGGACGGCCGGTCCATGCGGTGCCCCTCCTTCAGCAGCTTGAAGAGCTCCTCCACGGGGATGCCGGGGTAGGGGGAGCCGCCCAGGGTGAAGATCTCCCACATCAGGATCCCAAAGGACCACCTGGGAGCACACAGGGCAAGGGGGCTGGCTGCAGGAGGGGTCCGGCTGCCACCGGGATGGTGCCACCCCCCCGGAGCACCCCCTGTCCTAAGGATGGGGACCCTCCAGCACACACACACAGCCCCACGGTGCTGCCTCAGCCCACACCCCGCAGCAGCCATCGGGCCCCAGGACTCACACGTCGCTCTGGTGGGTGTAGACGCGGTCAAACAGAGCCTCTGGTGCCATCCACTTCACGGGCAGGCGGCCCTGCAGGAACAAACCCTCTGCTGAGCCGGGGTCCCGGCCCCCCCAGCCCTCACCCTGCCCCTCGCCCGGTCCCCCCCCAGCTCACGTTGCTGGTTTTCTTGTAGTAGTCGATGTCGTGGACGTCCCTGGCCAAGCCGAAGTCGGCGATTTTCATCACGCTCTCTGCTGTGACCAGCACATTGCGGGCAGCCAGGTCGCGGTGGATGCACTGCCAGGAGGGAAACGGCACCCGCAGGAGATGTGAGAGGGCAGCTGCACCTCAGCAAGTCCCCCCAGCACACCCCGAACCCCCCCCAGCACCCCAAAGCACCACCAGCCCCCCTATGGCACCGTCAGCCCCAGGGTTAGGGGGTGTCACCCCACCCACCCCGCTCTTTTTGGCACCCCTCGCAGGCTGTGCCGGCCCTACCCGCTTGGACTCCAGGTACTCCATGCCGCGGGCCACCTGGTAGACGCAGGACACCAGGTCCTTGAAGGAGAGCTGCTCCTCGGGCAGCGCCGTGATGTCGAAGGTGTAGTCGGGCGTGGGAGGGCGCCGGGCGCGGAGGTACTCGCGCAGGTTGCCCTTGGCTGCGAACTCCACGATCACGTACAGCGGCCCTGGGAAGGGCAAAGGCTCCGCTCAGCCCTCCTTGTCCCTGCCCTGCCACCCCCTGACCCCATCCTGCCACCGCCCCCTGAAGCCCAGCCTTCCCCGCGCCCCCCCTCACCGTCCTGCGTGCAGACGCCCAGGAGGTTGATGATGTTCTTGTGCTTGTCCATCAGCTTCATCATCTCCATCTCGGAGATGAGGTCGGCCAGGTCCTTGTCGGTGGCATTGTCTGGGGGCAGGGGCTGTGTCACCGTGCCAGCCAGCGTGGTGCCACAGCCCGGCACCAACACAGCCCCCGTGCCCGGGGTGCTGCAGGGCAGGGCACCTGCACCTTCCCTTCCTTACCTTTGAGCATCTTCACAGCCACGGTGACGGCTCTGTCCGGCCGCTCCCTGTCGATGCCGTACGCCTCTGCCCGCACCACCTGCCCGAAGCAGCCCTCTCCCAGGGGCTTGCCCAGCACCAGCCTGGCGAGGAGAAGCAGAGCCGTGAGTCGGAGCCGGGGTCAGCGCGGAGCCACAGCGCTGGCACCGCCAGCCCCAGCCCTCCCCAGCGCCGCGCGGCTCCGTACTTGTCCCGGGGGAACTCCCACTTGGAGTCGAGGGGCAGGTCCAGCTCCATGACCCCCGCCAGCATGGGGGCACAGCTGGAGGAGAGGCGAGTGACGCGCATCAGGGACGTGCTGGACTTCCCGGAGGAGCTGGAGTCCAGGGAGAACTGCGGAGAGAGCAGGAGGACCTCAGCTGCCCGGCCTCGTGCTTGGGACGATGGCCCCAAGAGCAGGGCTCGTGCCGAGGCCGTCAGGAGGGTAAGGGGTGACAGGGACAGGTGGCAGCAGCAGAACCAGTCGGCTACCGAGGTCCCCCCAGGGCTCCAGCTCAGCCCTCACCTGCCGGATGAGCGGGAATTTGGAGAGCTTGTGGACCGCCATGGGCTCCAGGGGCTGCTTGCTCGACTGCGTCTGCATCCGGCACAGCACCACGATGATGATGGCCATGGCCACGGCCAGCGAGCCCGACGTGTAGATGATGATATCCGTGTACTTGGCCTCGGGGGGCTCGGCCTCTCGCACCAGCTCCTCTTCTGCAGGGAGAGGAGGCATCATCCTGCAGTCCCTGCAGCACCCACGGCCGCCCCCAGCCCCGACCAGCCTCGTGGTGCCCCCCGGCCCCCCCGGCCCTACCTGGGAGCACGGTGAGCCAGGCCGACTGGTAGGAGAGGCCGATGGAGTTCCCCGCCAGGCAGGTGTACTCGCCCGCGTCCTCCATGGAGACGTTGCGCAGGTACAGCACCTCCACCTCCGAGCTGTTGATATCTGCAGTCTGCCGGCAGAGCGAAGGACCCTGAGCATCCCCCCCGGGGGGGACGGGCTCTGTGCGCCCCCCGGCACCCGGCCACTACCTTGAGCACTTGCACGTAGGGCACCCCGTCGGGGCCGTAGCTGCTGCCGTTCACCTCGATGTGCTTCAGCCACTGGATGTGGGGCTGGGCGTCGCTGTACACCTTGCAGAAGAACTCCACGTCGCTGCCCACCAGGGCCGTGGTGTTGGCGGGGAGCCCTGCCTGCAGGATGGGCCGGTGCGGGGACCTCTCTGCAACCAGGACAGCAGAGCAGCATCACCCACATGGCACCCGCAGCGGGGTCACACCGCTGCCTCCCCACCCTCTGTGAACCCCCGGGGACCTGCGGTGACCCCAGCTGCTGCCTCATCCTCACATCCCTTGGGTGCGAGGGCAGAGAGGAGCCCAGCACAGGCTCCTCCACCCAATTCCCAGGCACCCTGCTGGCCAGAGCCCTCACCCAGCACATCCAGCAGGTAGCTGTAGCGGATGCTCCCGAACCTGTTCTCCACCAGGCAGGTGTAGTTGCCGCGGTCGGAGGGCACCACGCTCTCCATGACCAGGCTCCAGTGCTGGTGCCGGAGCTGCAGCAGGGAGGCAAAGTGGGGAGGAATGGGGTCAGTGCTACCGAGCTGCTGCTGAGCGGGATACCGGGAAGGGGGGGTTTTGGGGACCTCACCCGGATGCCCCCGATGCGGTGCTCCCCCCGGAATTCACGCCCGTTCTTGAACCAGCGGATGCTGGGGCTGGGGCTGCCCGAGGCCGGGCAGCGAAACTTGACGGTGTTCCCCGCGGGGACGGCGTACAGCTTCTTGTCCATCCGGTGCGGGTGGGTCCAGTACGGCGCTGGGGACACACGTGGCGTGCCATGGGACGGGGCCATCGGCACAGCGCCACGGCCCTGCCCGGGGCAGCACTCACCTCTGTGCACGTAGACGGGCTCCTCACCGCGGTCTCCGTGGGGGCCGTCCCCATCGCTGTCTTCATCGTCATCGCCCGATGCCAGCGAGTCTGCGGGGGGAGGCAGGTTGTGAGGGATGCCCCCGTATGCAGGGGCAGGGAAGTGGGGGCGCGCTCCCCCCAGCACCGCCCTGGGCGCTCACCCACGACGGAGATGGTGAAGTTGCGCAGGATCTCCCCGGTGCCCCGGGCCCGGCACACGTAGAGCCCCGAGTCCTCGTAGGCGACCTCGGAGATCTCCAACAAGCTCTGCTGGAGATGGACGCGGCCCCCCGGGACCAGCGGCCTGGACTCCTTGTACCAGACCACGCTGGCACCGCTGTGGTTGGCGTCGCAGTACAGCTTCAGCACGTTGCCTGGGTCCAGCAGGAGATGTTCCTCCTCCGACTCCAGCAAGGGGCTCTCGAACAGCTCTGCAGCCCAGCAGAGACGCGCTGAGCGCCAGGCACGGTGCTCACCCCCCCGACAGCACGGCCCTGCCACGCACCCGCCGGGAGCACACGGCACGACGTGGCCCAGTGCCCGGCCGCAGACACGGGCGAGGGCTGGACTCTGCCCTCAGGCACGGGGACGAGGCTTCCCCAGCAGCTGCCTGGCACTGGCGTGTCCCTGTCCAAGGCCACACAATGCCACCCTCCTTTCAGAGGGGACACTCCTGCAGGAGCAGGGTGCCCGAGCCCATCCTGCCTCGCTGGGGATGGGAAAGGAGCGGGTGCCCTCAGCATCAAACCCTCCTGGACACCCTCCCCGCTGGAAGAGCCAGCCCCAAATAATTATTCTGTTCTGTTCTAAACCCGGAGCAGACCCCAGCGCAGCCAGCCCTTGCTGTCCCTGCACACCATCGGAGCAGCGCTGCAGTGACGGCTCCGTCGTGGCTGCAGGAGATGCCGGGACCCAAAACCCCGCAGCTCCGAGCGCAGCAGCTCCGCAGCCCCTGTCTGCAGGTCCCGTGCAACACCCCCAAGCCCCGAGCGCTGCGGCTGTCAGCACACGTGTGCACGGCCAGAAAGGAAAGACCCAACCGCTCAGCAACTGCTGCACCAACCCCGGGCACGCCACCGGGCTGCCCGCACGCCGTGGGCCTTGGGGACAGAGCCAACACTGAGCCAACATGCACAGACCACGGAAAGCAGCGTCCCCGACCCAAAAACCCCCCAGCCTGGCTGAAAATCCCACCCCAGCCGCACTGGTGCAAGGTGCCTCCCAGCCACCCGCTCTCGCACCCATTTGAGCCCACCAGCGGTGGGCACGGATGAGCAGAGTGGGGGGCTCGGCGGGGTGCCCAACCCCAAAGCCCCCTCTGCCGAGCCCAAATCCCAAATCCCGAATTCCCCCCCCTCCAGCCCCGTACCTGTCTCCATCGCCCCTCGGCGGGAGGCGGCGGGCCGAGCCGCCAGCAGCAGCCCGGCCAGGACGTGCCAGAGCGGCCGCATCTTCCCGGCCTCCTGCAAGGCAGCGGCAGCGCGGTCAGGGGGCTGCGCGCCCCCGGGGGGAGCCGGGACGCGCCCGGACCCGGGACGGGACGGGACGGGGCGGCTGCGCGGAGCCCCGACGGCGCGATGGAGCGGGGCGCGGAACGGCGTGGGGAAGGGGACAGGGACCCTGCGGGGGTTTGGGGACCTTGCGGGAGTTTGGGGACCCGGGGGGGTCTGGGAGAAGCTGGGGGGATCCTGCCCGTAGCCTTAACTCGGGGGGGGGACGGGGAGGGGACGGCAGCACCGGGGCGCGCGGGGAGAGGTCCCGGGCTCAGCGCCCCGCGGACGGGGCGGCGGGGAGGGACGGGGGCGGTGGGGAGGGATGGGGAGGGATGGGGTGGGGGATCGGGGGAGGGATGGGGGGGTCGCGGGAGGGGGTCGCGGCGTTACCGGCGGTGCGCGGCTCCCCCGGCGGAGCCACCCGCGCGGTGCGGGGAGGACCGGGGCAAAGTCCGCCGCCGCCGCCGCCGCCTCCGGGGCCGTGCCGTAGCGACCCGTACCGACCCGTACCGTGCCGTACCGAGCCGTACCGAGCCGTACCGGGCTCAGCGCCCCGTCCCCATGGCGGCCCCCGGCCTGGAGCTGGCTCCGCCGCCGCCTTGGCCGCGCTCTGCCGCCGCCGCGGGCGCGGGCACTTTGTAGGGCGGCGCTCGGGTTACACCGCGCCGCGGGCGGCCCCGACCCCCGCCCCGCCCCCGGGACCGAGCCCGAGCCCGGGACCGAGCCCGAGCGTTGCCGGGCGCCGTTCCCGGCAGCGGAGCAGCGCACCCGCCGGCTAATTGGTGCCGCCGCAATTAGCCGCCGCCTTATCGCTGCCGGGGCCATAAAGCGGCCGTGCGTGACCCCCATTAGGAGCCCATAAGGCCCCGTCGTAAAAACACCGCGGGGCTGCGAGCCGGGACCCGGGCGGCCCTAATCCAGCCCATAAACACCTCCCGGACCCCCCCCGCTGCACGCCCGGGGACCCCCGGGGGCACCACGGGCACCGAGGACAACCCCCGGCCGCCTCCTCCATCCCCGGCCGGTAACGGGGGACCCGGACCCCAATCCCCGGAGCCCTCCTGCGGGCAGCGGGGTTCACAGCTTGGTGTGGGGCTGCCCTGAGCCCTGTGCTGCTGCAGGTGGGGCACAGCCACCCCCGTCCCCCCCATGTCACCCCCCCGTCATCCCCATCCCACGGGGCCACGAGGCCAGGGCACGGCTCCAGCACATGGGAGCAGTGAGCGTGGCACGAGGTGGCATCACACGAGGGCTGCGCGGTGCCACTGTCACCCATGGTGTCACCCACCCCAGGGTGCTGCCCCCACCCCAGGGCACAGAGGAGCACGGAGTGGCCCCCGCGGCCCCCAGCAGCTGTTCGGCGCGGTGCATTCCTGCCGGCACGCGGAGCGGACGGGAACATCGATTTCACGGGGCAGCAGCCGCCTCCGCAGAGCTCACGGCGTGCCGGAAACACGGGAAAAATGTTGGGTTCGGCTCGATTCGAACCGAAACCGCATCCGAACAGGGAGAACATGGAAATCCTCGGCAAAGTGGAGCTGGCAGGGCCAGCTCGGGGCAGGGCTGGGTGCTGGGGTGCAGCAAAGCCCAGCGGATGGATGCACGAAACCCTGGAGCCCCAGGGGAGATTGGGGCGAGCGTGGGAGGGGATCATTCCCAGCACTGGGAATGCCAGAGGAGAGCTGGGAGCCCATGGGATGGGCACAGAGACCCTAAACCCCATCCAGGTGCCTGCAGTGGGGACGGAGCAGGACGGGCAGACAGGCGCAGGACAAGGGGACCCGCGCTGGCAGCTCGCCCCGTGCCATGCTGGGCATCCCCGCAGAGACCGGGCAGTGTGGGCACGGGCTGGGGGCGGCAGGGGGCTGCTCCCCTCCCTGCTGCGGGGCTGGGGGCTCGGGCTGCCTCGCTTGATTTATAACAGCAACTGAAGGCAAACAAAAAGCCCTTCACGGCAGCACGGCCCACCGCCTGCCGCCCGCCTCCGGCAGCACCGCCACGGCCTCCGCCACGCCAGCAGCTCAACAAGGGGGGATTGTGCCAGCGCCGGCTCCCCGTGCCATGGGGGCAGCCCTGCCCCTGCGCCCCCCTTTGCTCCCCGGGCTGCTCCCGTCAGCCGCAGCACCGCAAGGGGCACGTGTCCCCCCCCCCGGGCACCTTGCTGCAGTGTGGGAGCCCCGACACGGCAGGGTGACCGGGGAGGGGGTGCCCAGAGGTGGGCACGGTGCAGACGGGGCAGGGGGACCCGCTCTGCCCCAAACCCGACCAAGGAGAGGCGATGTTTGCTGTTTGCCTGCACCGAGCCGGACCCATGGCCTCGCTCATGTGCGGGGCCCCGCGGCAGCGAGCACGCACGAGGGGCTGGGCGCAGGGGGCTCCATCCTCCCACCCCTGCCCCTTCCTCCAGGCAGTAAATCATCCCTGCTCCCCTCATGAAAGGCCCGTGTATGCGCTGCCGGCGCAGGGAGCCTGCCTGGTGCCAACAATATTGCTCTTGGAAGGCAGCCGGGGCTGCGGGAACACAGCCGCCCCTTGTGCCTGGCCCCAGCGCTCGCCGCCGTTCCTGCTGCGGTCGCACCTGCGGCCAGCATGAGCGCGCGCGGCCGGTGGCTCCTGGGGGGGCCGGAGCCCGGGGGGCTCTTTCCTCCTGGAAGTTTCTCTTGGCCTCTCCTGAACGGCCGTTGTTTGGGGCGCAGGCTCCCCGCTCCCAGCACCCCGTATGCACATGGGGTCGGGATGCCGAGGGATTGGGGCCGTGCGAGCACACGGCGGGCGCATGCCAGCCCCAGGCCCGGTGCGGAGGCTCCCAGCTCCCTCCAGCCCCACTGGCCTCGGCACACGGCAGCCCTACAGCCCCGGCCACAACCCGCAGCCTCTTATCAGCCCAGCCGGGCAGGGCGCTCTGGTGGGGCCAGGTCCTGCTCCAGCCTTGCCAGGAGCCACCTCGCTGCTGCTGGCCACGCACAGGGCACGGTGATGCGGGACATCGGGTCCCAGCTCCACGGAATGGGGTCCAGGACGGGAGCTCAGCCCCCGTGTCCAGCCCGGCCGCATCCCTCCGCTCCCCCACATCCCTCTACCCACCCCGCAGCAGGAGCCGAGCACGGTCCCGCTGGGATCCTGCTGATCCTTATCTCCTGCAGGGAGGGACTGATGGAGCAACCCGGCCCGGTTAAGGTTTAACCAGGCACAACTTGGCAAACATGAACCCGCTGCTCCCTTTGGGGAGGCGAGAACGCGGGGCCCGGCGCAGGGGCTGCCGGGGAGGGACGTGGTGTCCCCACTGAGCCCCCAGCATGGCACCCACAGCATCGGGCACCGCGTCCTTGCCAGGGTGAGCAGGGAGCACCCCGCAGCACAGGGCACAGCCGTGCCAGGCACAGGGATGGGTACGTGGGCCGGGATGGGTGCAGCACGCTGCAGACCCCAGGCACCAGGCTGGGCACCACTGCCCGTCCATAGGCTGAGCAAACCAGGCCTCCAGGTCCCACGGGGAGGGCTCTTCCCACCAGCTCTGCCCCCCACGAGGCATGGGACGCTCACCCCACGAGCAGCATGGCCACGGCGGGGTGCCACGAGGCAGCAGCAGGGCCACCCCCACGCTCCCAGCCCCTAATGGCAAGCAGGCGCCCGGCCCTGCCTCCACATCTGCACCTGATTTACTTGCTGGAGACAGCGGGGCCACGAGGGAGGGCAGCGGTTAGGGCTGCAGACTGGGGGGCTGCGTTCCCCTACACACCCCCCGGTGAGGGTGGGATCGGGGTTCCAGCCCCATGCGCCGTGCTGGGGGCTGAGCGGGCTGCGCAGACCGGCCGGCTCCAAGGAGCTGGCTCGGGCACAGGCGGGGGACGGCGGCGCTTCCGCGGGGATGTGGCCGGGGTGGCTCCGTGCCCTGCTCCTGCCTGCCAGCACGGAAGGCGCTTGGGCTCGGCCCGTGGCGGGCAGCCGGAGCCCCGGCACAGCCAGGTGCTGCCCGCAGGGGCCCCGGGCGGGAGGCACGCTGGCAGCAGCAGCGGTGTGAGGGGGGAACGGGTGCGCTCTGGGCTCCACTTCCCCTGGTGCACGGAGGGCTCTGGGCCCAGCTGCCGGCCCCTCACGCTGCAGGGTGCCCCCGGGTGCTGCAGGGTGGAAGGGGGGGGCTGGAGCGTGGCAGCCAGCCCTGGCAGCAGGACGGAGGCAGAGGGAGGCACAGCTGGCTGAGTGCAGCCACCAGCTGGGGGCTGCGGGCCCCCCCGGAGCAGCCTGAGGGGCAGCATGCACCCAGTAGGGGAGGGACACCTGTGATTTTGGCACCCCGCTGGTTCAAGGATCAGAGCATGGGAACGGGACAGAGGCAGCCCCACGTCCTCCTCCTACCCTGCACCTGCCTCGGGGAGCGCCTGCACCCACAGGAGGGCCGGGAGCGGCGAGAAACACCACGTCCCTGCTGCCAGGAGGGGACGGGGTCAGCGAGGGACAGGCTGGCAGCTGCCGCCATGCCGCCCCGGCAGAGCCGAGCCGTGCCCTGCAGCAGGCAGACGCAGCCCGTCCCTCCCTGCACTGCCCCGGGGCTGGGGACAGCGCCAGCACGAGGCCTGCGCCGTGCCTGGGGACACACCGTAGGGCAGGGGGTGCAGCTGAAGGGTGTGCTGCTGTGCCCCCATGCATGCCCCGGGGTACTGAGCAGCAGTCCTGGGGCTGCCTCAGCTCTGGGGCCTGTGTCAGGGCAGCGAGCGAGCACGGCTCTCTGCTGAGGGGTGCAAGCAGAGGCAGGAGGCTCTGCCATCACCCGGCTCCTGTGCTGCCATGGGAGGGCTGGAAAAAGCCCCGTGCCCCCTGCCTGTGACGGATGTTTTCTGCAGCAGTGCCAGCAGGCTCCGGGGCCAGACTGTCCTGTCCTCTCCTCGGTGACACTGGTGTGCTCCAGGCCATGCTGACTTGCCAGAGCAGCGCAGAGGAAGGCACCGACCGGCTCTGTGCAGACCTTGGGGTGACAGCAGAGCCTTGAGGAGGGCGGCTGGGAACACAAACCTCCTGCCCCTCCCGAGTATTTCAAAGGGGTGTGCGTCCTGTGGGCTGAAGCGTGGCAAAACAAAGCAAACCAGGAAGGGTTACTGCAGAGAGACAGCACCCAGCAGTAGTAATAAACACTCTATTTGGAGAGCTTCACCTCAGGGAAACAGCAGATACATAAACATCGTGTACAGGGGGAGGCAAAACTGTGGGAACACAGCGCAGTGACACACCGGGCTGGGCAGTGCTGGAAATGGATCCCTCGTGGTGTCAGCGCACAGCACATCCAGCAGGCACCTGCACTCACACGGCGAGGCGAGAGCTAAGCAGCGGAGATCGGTGTTGGAGGCCACCCAGCACACGACGCTTCCTTCAGCTCAATTTTCTGCTCGTTGATCGGCCTGCGAGGTTTAGCAGAGCCTCCCTCTCGAGCAGGAGGCGAAGGTCAGACCTCAGCGGTAGAACAAGAGTGGAAAACGTCAGGAAGGCGAACCCAGACCAGCAGGAGCCTGTCCTAAGGGAAGGTGGCAGACCCCGCGCAGGGCGAAGGCGAACAAAGCTTGTGCACAGCCTGGAGCGGGGAGGGGAAGGCAGAGATCAGCAGCCAGCTCTCTCCTTGCTTAACCTGCCTGGCGCATGCTGGATTTTGGAAGTGCCTGCACGGCCTGGCTCTCAGCCTCACGAGGGCGGCAGCTGCTCCCCCTGGAACGCAGCGCAGGGAGCGCAGGGCCCCAGCCTGCCCCACTGCAGCTGCTGCGGCTCTGCTCAGCCCACCCTGCTCTGCCAGCCCTGCTGAGCCCCAGAAGGGGCCAGATGCCCATCCTTCTGCCCCAGGGAAGGACAAAAACAGGGTGTTTGCCACGGGCTAGTGAAGTTTCAGCTCCTCAGAGGCACTGAAGCTGGGATGAAGCCGCCGAGTGTCTGACTTGGAGCGCTGGCAGCGAACACGAGGCCAGCCCGACACACACGGCTCTCGTGGTGGGCTGGCGGAGCACAGACAATGCCTTACCTCAAGGACAAAACATCTAAAGAGCTCACCCAAAACACACAACAGTCTCAGATGCCTGCCCTTCCTGCCGGGGGCTTTTCTAACAGATCTAGTACATTAGCACCACGAAGGGACCATCAGCCTGAACTCCTGGGTTTGAAATACAGAACGGCCCCTCTCCAGGCTGGGACGAGTACGTAAGAGCTTTGAGGAGAGGGCTCGGGCAAGGAGTGTCTAAGGAAGGACTAACAGGGGCAGGTTTCCAGGGGATTTGTAGTTTTTTAGTCAGCTAACAATTTGACCAAGTTATACTACGGTCTTCTATTGTATCTAGATTCGTTTCCTCTTTTTTTCTTTTTTCTTTTTCTTAAAATTCTCTTTTCCCATAATATTTTGCTGGCAGTAGGGAAAATGCTGCACTTAAACTCTGTCAGGGCCTGCACGTGAAGCGAACTCGCTCTGCTCACCCTTCGCCTGCTGATCGCATTCAGACCTTGGAGATCGCCACCAGCGCCAAGTTTGGCTGCAATTTGTTTAAGTTACAGGGGGTAAAGACACACACGGTGAATCATCACATACACCTGTTTCCATAGGAAACCAGGCTAAACAGTTCCTTCCTTCCACATGGAAATCCTCGGAGCAGAGGGCTGAGCTGCCTGCAGAGCCAAGAGCTCCCGCTCCTCTCTCAGCCCCCACTCCCACCAGCAGCAAGCTGTACACCAGCAATCGTGACGACTTGTTAGACACCGAGACAACAGAGCTCCAGAACCAACGGCTGCAGTGCTGCGAAAGGCTCCAACGGCATTTGGTGGCTCAGGAAAATCTGCACACGAACCTGCCCGGAGGAGGCAGGATGGATGCTACGCTGTCACTTTTCATTTTGGGCCTGTAAGAAGCCAGGCAGCCCGCACAGCGTCCCCATCCGTGCCGCGTGAGCGCTGCTTGCTGCGATCTAGGAGTTCTCCTCCAGCAAAAGACGCCTCCGAGCGCGGGCTGCTGGCCTTCCAGGTGCAGGAACCCGCCGCTTGCTCTGGTGAGGGAGGAGGTGGCCGTTGCCAGCCTGTTGCCAGCCCCTCCTTATACCAGATACACACTTCCTCGCACACCGCACCCACCTTCACAGGAAGCAATTACACAATGAAAACTACTCTAAGGGAGTGAAGTATTTGCTGTCTACCAAGTCTCTTCCAGCTGGATCCTTTTTCGGACAGCTTCAGTCCCCGTTCTGCTCAACGGGTGCATACAGGAGGGTAGGGCTTTGCTTATCCAGAGGGATAATGAAACCATTGTGGGCTGGCAAAGGACGTGCGTTCTTGGGCCACCAACACAACGCCGAGAGCAGTGCTGCAGCTCGCTCTAGAAGTCTTGGCTGAAGTAGCTGTAGCCTCCCGGGGCAGTCGACTCTTCCCGGACGTACTGCTGGGGGGGGAACGGTCCTACAACCGGCACTGCTCCTGGCATCCTGCACGTCCAACGGAGCGAGGGGAAGAGAAAAGGGAAAAGAAACAACGTCAGTCACTCAGATCTGTCAGCTGCCATCACTGCTCAGCAAGCACGGCTGTCAGCGGAGTAACAACCTACTACAGACAAGTCAGCCACTTGCCAGAAAAGCTTCCAAGTGCTTCCTTACTCTGTGTGTAAACAGACACCTTTAGCAGGGCAGAATTAGCTAGTGCACAGCTCAAGGGCTGTTAAGTGCTTCCACTACAAGGCAAGTATCCTGGCTCTTTTCAGCCTGCAGAAGCTGGCCTGGAACAGCGTTTAGCAGCTAAATCCAGAAGCAGCTTTCTGAAAGGGAGCTGTTTGGCTGGAAAAACTGGAACAATGTCCATGTCCTTAAAGGGAACGGCTATGCCTATGCATGGGGAACATCTTCAGGGTTTCTTTCTACAACAGGCTACATTCAGGCTAGGTGTTTGCCATTCACTGATCCCGCTGCGCTGTCCAAGAGATGAAACTTTCACAGGGGGACAGGCAGAGCTTATGTCTTCCAATCAATTACTCCACAGACAGGGTGCAATGGGGCTGTTATTCCACAGACACACAACAAAAGATCCCAGTTTTCCTCCTAGCCCCTCTGGGAAATCTAGCTAGGAGTCTATCACTTCAGGTAGGGCTTCCTAACGCCTCTGTCTTTAAGAAGCTGTCCAACCAAGAGGGGTCCACTACTGACCCTCTTTAAGGTAAGGCACTGAAATTAGAGAGCAGAACTTTGCCAGTGTCCAGAGCAAGTACATTTGGTATTAATCATCCATCTAGCAGCCTAAATTTTAGAGATGAATAGTTTTCAGGGGATGCCACTATTTAACTTACCAGCTGTAGAATGAGTTCAGCAACATAGTTCTGTTTCATAGTTTCTGGAGCATGCTGACTACACGCCAGATTTTAAAAAAGCAACTCTAAGGATAGAATGGCAAGTGGATCGCCACTGAGCCAGTCTTTAATTAAATTAAACTCTTGGTTCTTACAGAAATGGTGTTTAACAAGTGTCAGGCTGGATGCGTTCGCTGCAAAGATCCATGAACCACTGAGAACCAACCAAAACTGAAGGACGCTTCTACTCCAGCAGCATCCCCGAGCTGGCTGCAGGGGGAGCTGCTGAAGAGGCTGAGGGGATGCAAACCTCCCCTGGTTAGCTGGCTTCACGACAAACAGCACAAGCTTGCACAAATTGTATCGGTCTGCTGGTGAGTCAGCTTGAAATACACACACAAAACTCTATTTAGGTTAGATCTAAACCATTGTTCAGGTTATATCTAAAGCATTGTTTAGGTTATATCTAAAGCATTGTTTAGGTTGTATCTAAAACATTGTTTCAACAAGGGTGGAAGCACACTGGAGGGGAAAGTTACTTACTGGTTCTTGTGTTTGAAGCCACTGATGTGAGCCTGGTACTGCTCTATGGAGTTCAGCACTATGTTACAGGTGTTGCAGGGGTACCCCTTCCCGGCTGAAACAGACAGCAGTGTTAACACACAGCTAGCCAACAACTCGGTGCCCAAGGTAGGAACAAGGTGATCGATCACTTGATGCCTCAACCGGCTGCTGAACAAAGACAAGTAGCAAATCAATGGCCTGAGCAGACAGGGAGGTCACAGAACCCAGGTACCCCACCAGATACAGGTCAGGCCCTGGTTGGTGATAGGAGGGAAGCACTAAGCCAGCAGGCCTTCCCCGGGCAGAACCCGGGTTTGTTATCTCCAAAAACAAACACACCTTTCCTACAACCAGTTCACACTATCAGATGAGGTGAAAATGTAGCATTAGGAGACCAACCCTGCCATTATGCTGCCTCTGCAACTCCACTTTTTTTTTTTTTTCTTTCCCAAATGCCCACTTCTCCTGATCTGTTTGTCTCATCACAGAAAACAAGAGATACTTAATTTGTAAGCCCGACACGTTTCAATAATAATAACAAGAACACAAAAGCAGCCAGAGGAGATTATACACAACATCAGGTTCCACAATGCAGCATTCTGCTAAGCCTTGCTGCGCTGCCAGTTGAGAATATTGAACTCTGTCCGCAAGCAGTTTAGTTACAGCCGGTGTATCAGTTAACTGGAAAAAAAAAAGTCTCCAACAATAGTTGTAGCAGACAGATCAATGGCTTTGATCCCAGCTGGAGTTGTCATGTTACACAAAGTTCTGGAGGTCGCAGATAGCAAACGAGCAAACATGGCAGCAGAGTTCACCAGGGAAGCCTGTAAGAGGGGAAAATACTGGCACTTGTCCCCAGGGCACGAAGTGCTCCCGAACTCAGGCTCTCCTGAGAAGGGCTTTGCCTTGGAGCCTCACAAAGAAAACACTTCCCTAAGGGGAACGGGGACATTCAGCCTAGGGGTGCAGAGCAGCATCACCAAGGGACACAACGCCCTCACGCCCACCTCCCTGCACCATCCAGGTGGAGATCTCTCTGTTGAAAGCCTGACAATGAGGTGTGTGCTGAGCACTTCACATCGTGCCCCCGCACCCTATGCTGATGGCTCCCAGAGGGATTCAGGCAGATGGGTATCTGGGTGTTGCACTGTGAAGGACACATCTTCACCTGCTGCCACTCTGATCCCAACAAGGCCACGTTTAGGGACAGCAAGTGCTCAGAAAAAAAAAAAAAAAAAAAAAAGAATCTTCACAAAAGTATAGGCCAGCTTCTGAGCTCAATTCTATAAGAGAGGAACAAGAGGCTTGTTCTGGGAAGAACTGTGCCGGCACGCCAGCTTGGTGTGGCTGTTAGCAGAGACAGGGAAACACATCCCTGACTGCAGCCCATCACATCAGAGCAGCCTCACGTTACAGCTACGGCTTGGAAACCTCTCCTGGAACAGCTGGAGTGCCACGGAGGCGTGGATGGAGACACTGGTTTTGTGAGGACTTCATGGAGGACGTCAATCACACAGCCAACAGCACTGCCCGCTTACCCAGCCTGGGCCGGGGCTCCTGAGTCACAATTAAACAGAACCATTGATCAGGCCCCATTAATTAGGTAAAGAGCAGCTGAATAACACAAGATGCGAGGCACCTTTTCCATCTCCCACACGACTACACGATGTGGGAGAGAATATTACTTGGATAATTGAGCCTCATTTCTCCTAAGTGCTACCAGTAGCTAAAAGTGGCCCACAAAGAATTAGAGTAATTAATCTTCTGCTTATGGGCGTTTTATGACAGAGAAAGAAGCTCTTGAAGAAGATTTTAAGGTGATCTGCCTGCTTATTATTTACTTGAAGCATCCGGCAGGTGCTAGACTTCCTGCTCCGACAGAAGGCTGCTGGGAGGGACAAGGGAGTTTGCTGCGAGCTCCTGATGCTTTCCCTGGGCTCCGAGGCTTTCAGCAGGCAGGAGTACTCACAGGGAACAGAACATAAACCAAATGAGTTTCAACTGTCTGCCTAAAGTTCCTCCTTAATAGCTCAATTTTTTCCACATTCCTGTTTGCTCTGGAGAGTTGCATTAGTTCATCAGATGAAGTGCCCACACAGAGGCAGAAAGCATTCAGGGAGAAATCTCTCTGGCTTTCATGTGCTTTGAAGCAGCAGGTGCAGTAAAACCTATTTCTTCCTTCTTTGGCTAGTCCCCTCTGAAGGCAGTTTTTAAGCATCAAATGCCACTTTTATCTTTCCATTTTGGATGCAATCCACCTAGCTAGAAACAGCACTGGCCAAAATCCCTGGATTATCCGCACAGAGAATAAAAAGGCCACGTACTCGATTAGACAACATCGCAAGAACACAACCCAGAGCTTGCCACAAGCAGCTACAGCCTAAAACCTCTCCTGCTGCCAGGGGGTTACGCTGTCAACCAAATCCATCTTGCGGTGCATCATCAAGATCCTGCGAGACCACGAGCAATTCTCCCTGCTCCCTCTACATGGGCTCTCATGCAGAGATGTGTCAGACACGCAGTGCTGCTCTCCCGCCCTGCCCTGCAGTTCTTTATTCGCCTGTTTGCTGAGAACTCACCCATAAAGGACGCCGCCGGTGCATCAGGAGTTCGGCCGTAGTGTGCCATCAGCTTGTGTTTGGTCTCTTGCTTTCTGTGCTTCTTGCCTACGTAATGCTGTTTTGCCATAAGGGGGTTGTTGAATGTGGCGTGGCAGAGGGTACAGAACTTGTCGGGGTCAATAATGTCCTTGTTCTCTTCGTTAGGAGACGCGGCAGAGGTGGGGAGGGCAGCAGGATGTTTCTGTGGAGGTGTTACTTCTGCAGGGTGAACCAAACTCGTGGTCAGTCACAGAACTCAGATGCAAAATAAAGTCATTTTAGTTCCCTAAAACATGCATTAAACAAACAAACAAATCCCAAACACCCCAAAAACAAACCAAGTCATAGAATGTAAGAATTCTGGACAAATTGATGTCACCCCTACCTCTTCCCTTAATGCTCCTGGTGCGTGCACAGCCCCAAGTTTCTCAGCTACACATCCCCAGCCCCCAGCTATCTGCAGCTCAGAAGCCCCTGAGCCACAGAAGCTGTACTTTACACCCAAGCAGCCCTGCCCAGTTCACCTTGCAGGCGTTTCACTGGTCACTCGGGTTTCTGTGAGCTTTTAGCAAGCATCACATCCCGTGACAGGTATTTCTACAGCTTTCCCTGGCAAACAGCTCTGGCCCATTCCTTACAGGCAGGGATGGGTACAACTGCTGAAAGCTTCACTGCACCCAAACAAGAAATAAAAAACCACCCTAAACATGCTGCTTTTAGTCACTGCCAGCCTACCAAGCAAGCTGCTGAGAGGCAGCAGTCTCTGGAGGTGTGCTGCTGGCGTGCCTCCTTCACAGGCACATGCCCAAAACGGCTCACACCTGGGGTCCAACGACACTTCTCAGTGCAGAATCACTGCGTGCAGCATTTTCCAGCTGGCACGTTACAAGTGAAGGCACTGCAGTCATACCTTCTGCTTTGGGGGACTGCTGCTTCACGTTCTTGGCGTGCGTCTTCCCCAGGTAGTGAGACGTCGCCACCGCCGGAGAGGAGAAGGTCATGTTACAGATGGGGCAGCACTTGTTCCTGTCCTCCCCGTTGCTGCCTTCCTGCTTGCTCTCCTGCACACAGAACCACAGAACGGCTGAGGCTGGAAGGCACCTCGGGACAGCACCTTGCTCAGCCTTCTTGTCACAAGAAAGAACGCTGAGGCATTTAAGAAAACAAAATAAACAGAGACACTCAGATGTCAGGTTGGAAATCTGACTGAGCAAGAGTTCCATGGTGCAGCACTCACTGACCGGACAGCATTCCTGCTTCGGATTTCTTTGTCAGCCTAGTGAACCGCTCTAGGTAGAGGGGCTGTCCTGGCCTGCATGGGTTGAGGACAAGGTTAACTGCGGGGCTGCCAGAATGGATCAGCCAGCCTTCTGCTCCCCACGAGGTGTGAGCCACGCAATACAAACACCACTATCAGCTGGGACATCGGCAACACGATGCTGGCTGAGCAGGCAGCAGCAGTCATTCCTAAGCCTAACACTATGTGTGAAGGCATCCTCCTTTATCCCCCCCTCCACCCCCGCTACAAATGTTTGAGGGTTAGGGATTAAAGCTGAAGCAATCATAAAAGCAGAATCTGTTTCCCAAATGAGTCACGGGGCAGACAGATGGCAGGGTGGAATGTGCTCCTCTCGCTGACCAACAGGCTCCAACCACTGGCTGAAGAAACTGAAACAAGTCAAAACAGAGTTGTGCCGGAAGGGAAGTCCGGCGAGTTGTGAACCCTGAAAGTACTTGTAATGAAATTAAGCATTATGCAGGTGTGATGAAACTCCTGACTTTGTTATTCATGAATTTGCTGCTCCTAGTTACTTTACCCTGTTTTTTTTCATGCAGTTCACAGGGAGACTTTCAGTACAAGGCAGCAGGCGTTTCCTTATGTGAACGAGGCGATGGGAACCATACTCACCGCGACAAGGCACAGTGACAGCAGCACAGAGCCCTTCCCAGGACCCCTTTCTCCCATCGCTCACACAGGCACAGGGGTCACTTGGCAGCGTTTAGCTGAGACCCAGTTCCATGAACCTGCAGGGCTGGGCGCGTTGCCTCACCTGCTTGGCGTCCACCTTCATCCTCTTGCCGGGCGCCAGCTCCTCCTCGCCGTGGATGGACAGGTAGCGCCGCACCTTGTTGGCGTGCTTCTTGCTCTGCGGGGCAGAAAGCAGCTGGGGTGGCCTGGCACGGCCCGGAACAGCCCAGTACAGCGGGACATGGCCCAGTACGGCCCGGTACAGTGGGATATGTCCCAGTATGGCCCGATACAGCCTGTTATGGCCTGGTACGGCAGGACATGGCCTGGTACTGCCTGTTATGGCCCAGTACAGTGGGACACGGCCCTGTACTGCCTGGTACAGCCCGTTATGGCCTGGTACTGTGGAACATGGCCTGGTATGGCCTGGTACAGCAGGGTATGGCCCAGTACAGTAGGACACGGGCCATTATGGCCAGAGGAGCCCAGTACAACCCAATACTGCCAGGCACAGCCCGTTATGGCTCTGTATGGCCCAGTACGGTGGAGTATGGCCCAGTACAGCGGGACACAGCCCATTATGGCCCGGAACAGCCTGGTACGACCCGGTACTGCCCGGCACAGCCCAGTATGGCCCAGTATGGCAGAATATGACCCAGTACGGCCCAGCACAGCGGGACACGGCCCGCTACGGCCCGGCTCACCTGGTAATGCGCCAACCTCTGCGACTCGGAGATGAGCAGCGCGCTGCACACCTTGCACTGCGCCTCGGTGAAGATGTGCCCGTTCTCCCGGATCAGCCGCTCCACTGCCGGCACACAAGCGCTGTCAGCTCGCTCAGGGCCGGGCCCCGGCCCCGTCCCGGTGCCCCCGCCCTGCCCCCGCTCCCCTCACCTGCCTCCCTGCCCACCGGCAGCGCCGCGGCGTCCCCGTTGCTACCCGCCCCGTCCGCCATCTTGGCCGCCGCCGCCGCCACAGCAGCTCTCGCGAGATCTCCGCGCTCCTAGCAACGGCGCAGCGGAGGGAGGGGGGGAGGCGGCTTCCCGCGAGGTCACGTGCTGGCGGAGGGACGCCGCGGCCGCCATGTTGGTTGTGGGCAGCGGGGGGAGGTGGATCGGTGTGGGCCCCGCGGGGGCTGCGCGGCGCCGTTAGAACCGAGCAGAAGGGGGGGGTGAGGAGCGGGAGCGGCGCTTGAAGCGTCCTGCGGCGGGGTTAGCGGCGCGGAACGAAGTCACGCTGTGCCCCGATGTTTATTTCCTGTTGAAATCAGTCACAAGAAGCCGTAGGGCGCCTTGGCAGCCCTTGAGGGGCTCGCAGCGGCGGCTGCCCCCCGCCCCCGCTGTCCCCTCGGTTCCCCGTGTCCCCTCCCGCCCTCTCCCCTCAGCCCCCCGTTGCCAGCCGCGCCGCCGCCGCCCTCACCCTACATGGCGCCGCCCGCCTCGCCTCACCTCCCCTCCTGGCCACGTGACGCGACGCCGCCGCCGCCATCTTGGGTGAGGGCAATGAGGCCTCCGCCGCCAACTTGAGTGCGGGTAAGAGACCCGCTGAGCGGGGCCGGACCGGGGGGGGGGGCAACGGGAACGGGCCGGGGGGGCGGCGGTGCCCGGTCCCGGTGTGCGGCCGAGCCCCCCTGTGGGGCCGGGACAGCCCCGGGGCTGCCCCACCGCTAGGCCCCGGCCCTGCGGGGCGCCCATGGGGCCGTGCCCCAGCGCTTTCCTATCTCCCACCCCACCCCAATGCCTCCTGGGGGGGCTTTTTTGGGGGTTTGGGGCTCCACAGCCCAGCCCTGCTGTGCCTGAGGTCCCTGTGGTGGCACCCATGGGTGAGGGGATGGGGGGGGCTGGGTGGGTGGAGGGGGGCTGTGGGGTGGGGGGTGCTGTGAGGTGGGGGGTGTTATGGGGTGCTTTGGGGTGTTTTGGGGTGTTTTGGGGAGGGTTCTGCGCCCCCCACGCCTCCCCTTGCAGAAAGGGGGTCGCCGAGCAATCAGCATCTCCCACACAGCTTGGGCCATCCTCACGTCCCTTCTACAAAGAGCCCGGCTCTGCCAACGGACGAACTCCAAAAACACCCCCCGTGTGTCCTGTGGGGTGCTGCGGACCTCGACGCCCCGACCGCCAGCTGCTCGTCCTGCCCGGTCCCCGTGAGGCGGGGGGGTTGTTTACAGAGCGCCAGCCCGGGGGCTCGAGCGAAACTCATCCGGGGCTGAGAGTCATTCATCTCTGGCTTCGTTCTCCAGCATTTTTCAAGCTGTCACAGCTTGGCAGGTCTGTAGCTGCGGTGTCAGGATTTAGAATTATTCTGTCGGTAATTGCTTTCTGATTCATCAAAGTGATGGATGAGAGGGAAAATGACAAATAATCACAAGTTGGGGATCTTCAAGGATATCCCTAAAAATGTGACTGGAGAAGCGCGGCGTGCGCGCGCGGCCCTCGTCGGGAGGTCACCTTTGCTGTCAGAGCGTTTACGGAGAAATTCTCCCCAATTCAAAGTTGTAAAAAGAGAAAAAAATTTGGAAAATGAGTCCACGAGCCGAACTGCAAAGGTGGTTTCAGGTAGCGCAGGCTGGCCTTTTTCACTGGACCCCAGAGCAGACATCCCCAGAGCTGCTGCTTGGGCTGAGTGCTAAAAGCAAAACGCAGCCTGGCTCCCTTACCTGGGGAAGGGGGTGTGCTCCGAGGCTTGTTCCCTTCCCGCAGCTACATCAGCTCGTCTAATAAAAGCTATTACTGCTCTCCTACTCAGACTAGCACAGCTACAAGTGATCTCTCACTTGTCTTGTTCCCTTAGTTACGTTTACAGAGACTCTTTTTGCCACGAGTCCCTTCATTTTCAGAAGCCTCGTGGGAGTTGTGTGGTTACATCTCTTACATTTTTTTTCCTTCTCTTCTTTAAATGTTGGAGGTAGGTGACTCATCGTAACTCCAGCTGATATTTCTCAGTGATCTCTTATTTAGCACAGTGCAGCAGGCAGAAGATCTATTGCATGGAGGGGAGCTGTGATACCAGAGTGGATTTAAAAAAATATAAAAATAAAAAAGCGTGGCAGGTGCTTGTTGCTGTTTGCTTTTGTTTAAGTGGTTTACAGGCTTTCTCTCCAAAAATAGTGACCCTGCCTAGGCTCACGTACTGGGGACCAGATATCATGCCAGAAAAGCTTGCCTGCGTACGTGGCTCTGCTGATAAAGGAGTGCCCCTCCTAGGTGGGCTCCCTTTGTGGGGGCAGCTCCCAGCAGCTGGGTGGGAGGCTTGGTTTGTCTCTCTGGACAGAGGGACAAGATACTATTTGGAGCAAAAGATATTAAAAAAATGGAGAAAGTGTAATGAGGATTTTTTGACAAAAGCCAAAGTTCAGCTCAGCTGGAGCAAAACAGCTTTGTTTTGCAGGAGCTGCTGCTTTTCTAAAGAGCAGCGCTTGTTTTTATTTCCCCTTCATAAACACGAACGTTCCTGGGCTGCAGCGATGGTCGCCCTGCCCTCACTTCGGGAGCTACGCGTGCGATTTGTGCGAGGCTCTGTCTTTAGAGGGTTCAGGAAGCCCTCGGTGCCAGTCCTGGCTCACCAGGACACTCATCTTTTGTGTGTGCGCTTGGATTTGCCGAGGAAGGGAGACGGGGAGGTTAAGGGAGCTGTGGCAAGCTGCAGAAAACACAGAGGCAGCGCGTGTGCTCCCCTTGCTCTTAGCTTGCTGCCTCTGACTTGATGGAGGGGCGCGCTGCTGTCCTCGGTGCTATGTGGGCTTTGGACCTCTTGTTTACTGGTGTAAACACACAGCGCTGTCTGCAGCTTGCGGTGTTGCAGAAAAGGGTTTGGCTCCGTGCTGGATAACGCAGGGTCTTTTGTTGTGCCTTGTCTTGTTTTTATTCTAGCTCTTCTTTATTCTTATTTTAGCTCTGAGCAGCACATCTGAGCTATTTCAGTGGTCGCGAAGGAAGGCAGAATGATCCCAGGAAGGACACTGGGCTGGGACCTGGCCAGCTCCTGGTGCTCAGCCTGGTGCTCAGCCTGCTTCTCCAGGCTCTTTCAGAGCACGCCACGTTACCTGCCAAACCGAACGGCAAAGGAAGGGCTGCTTTAACTCCGTGTGCCACCCTGCTGCTCTCACCCGCCAGGATCTCATCCTGCTCCTCTTGCTTGAGTCCCTTTTGATGGGAGCAGCCGGCTCCTCTCTGCAGCAGGCTGGCAGGGAGAGGAGCCGCTGAAGCACTGCCTGGTATTGTGTGGGCACCTGCCCTCGATTGTGCCGCTCCTCCAGCGCTCGGGTTTGTGCTAATGATGCTCAGCGGGTTCCTCCCTGCTCGTCAAGTGCCTTCTTCAAGCGGGTGGCACAGGCACGTCTGTGCGGAGGGCTTCCGGAGCCTGCTGCTCGTTGAAAAGCCCAGGCTGCGAGATAAGCCCCTCGTCTCATTTCCAGCCTCCCTCCTGCCTGTGTTCTCCCCCTCCGTAGTGCTCTGGTTCCCCGGGGCAGCTGCTCTGACAGCGAAATAGCTTCCTCTGAGGGACCTGCCTCTCTCCCCTGTGCTTTATTCCATGGAAAAGCTGACAAATGGTCGTGCTGCTGTGGCTCCTCGTTCTGGCGTGCAAACCTCAGCTTGATTCACTGCCGGGGCCCTGTTTGTTCTGCACCAGGACGGGGAAGGTGTGGGGATGGGAAGGAGAAGCTCAGGGTGGGGATTTGGGGAGGGAGACCCGCTGTGAAATGTTGCTTTGGAGCAGTTTGCCGAGGAGGTTCAGCATGGGAAGCTAAGAGGAAAGCCTCCTCGCTTCGGAGCAAGGGCACTCAGAGTGGCTCTTGTCTGCCTTGCCGTTCCCCTGAAACCCCTTTCAGCAATCAGCTCTAATAAAGCATCCTTAACGAGATGAGCGGTGACAAGTGCGTGTGGCTCCCAGTACCGCTAAAGCTACCGCGCTTTGTAATAAGGCTCTGATGCCTGGGGTATTTTGCCTAAAAATAGAAAAAAAAAATTAAAAAAAAAGGAAGAAGAAAGGGATGGCTATTGGGGGAAATCCAACTCAGAAGGAAACAAATGGCTTTCAATCTTTCCTCCTTGTTTCAGGGTGAAGGATGCCGAGGAGGAGGAAGCCCGCAGAGGGCCCTGACTCTCGAGGTCAGGATGGGGAGGAAGAGGAGGAAGAGAAGAGGGGCCCGGCCAACGCCAAGAAGAAGCGCAGCTTTGTGGACGCGTTTATCATCATATCTGACAGCGATGGAGAGGTCAGTGGGCAGCCTGCAGAGCCCGGGGCCTGCGCTGGGCCCTGGGAGAGTGCCCATGTGCTGCTCTCACACGGGTCTGTTGTGCCATCCCTTCCCTTCCATGTGAGGGGAAGGAAATCCTATTTGACTAGGAAATGAGCGGTGCGCTTGGTGAGGGTGAGTTATGAGTCTGGGATTTGATAACCAAATCCGCTCAGAACCGAATTTGAAACGTAATTTCCAAGTAACCTTTCCTCAATCCCTTTACAAATCTTTTTTTCATAATTTTTATTTGATTGATTTCCAGCTAAGCCAGAGAAACATGATTCTGTATTATGTGCAAATAGATAAGAAAATGATTCAGAACGCAGGCTTGCGAGTGGCTCTGACACAGCTGGTGTCTGGTAAACCCATCCTGAATTACAGAAGTCAGAGTTTTTAACCCACTGCCACGGGGCGTAAAGGTGCTCCGTGGGTGGGTGTGCCTGGCTGCAACACACCAGCTAGGTCATTGATCCCTCACGTCATCGCATTAACGTCAGCCATGCCCTAAAACAGTGCCTAAAATTCGTGCCTGTTACACTGGTGTTGGGGATGCGTACAAAAACTCCCCTCCGGGAGAAACCCAGAGCCCTGAGAACATGCCCTCAGCTTGGGGTTCACAAGAAGAAATTATTGGAATCTTTTTTTTTATTTTATGTGTGACTGCTGAGGCTTTGCTCTGTCTTGCCAGTGATTTGGGCTCCTAAGCTGCTTTTTGTAATTCCACCATTTTCAAAAGCATTTCAGTTCACTCTCAAGCTGTAGATCTTAAATCAAGTCCTTTTCGCTCCCGCATCTGGAGCATGAGTCTCTACAA